CTACAATAAAGTTAACCACTGATAATGTGGATTAGATCTATAGCACCTGTTAAAATCCCATTTTCAGAGGCTGAAATTACATCAAACGGGCTGTAGTTGTGTTTTTTCTCAAGAAGCAGGGATGCCAATTATTCATGTACCGTCTGCTTCATCACTCGTGGGCCCCTCTGTCTTATCACTGCGAAGCTCTTATCTTATCCACTTCATCAACCTCAGACTCGTCCCCCAGATTGCGCTGCCGGCACACAGCATAACCATGTCTGCTGATTTTATTCCCAGGAGACCTCACGTCTGAGTCGCCTCACCTGCACCCCCGCCCCCCCGCCGCTCTGTCCTCTGCTATCACTCTAGGGAAAAGATAATGAGGGATATTTACCCTTATTAGTGTCACTAGTTCTATTTAAGGAACTATTATCTGAAATGAGGAGGCATGTATTACATTGGATTTTCATAACAACTTAGCTTAGTGCTGCTGTTGCATAAGGGAGCCTGAGAACAAACTGCTGTGATTGGATGCTTAGAAATTGTAAACGGATTAGCAGGTCGACAAACAGCTCATGATTCAATGAAGACACTCTTACCCCTTCTTAGGTTCATAATTGGTGAAACAGATACATGATGCACATTCTTAAATGCGGTTTAACTTGCTCATCATCACAGATTAAATCTGTTTAGAAATCATGGAAATTAAGCTGTACATTAGCCTTTGTGCTTGAACTCATCTCTTTTTTTTTTGATTTCTCTAGTAACCCCACATTTAATCCAAAACAAAATCCAAGTGTAACAAAGACACATAGCTGTGTCCACCTGTTTCTAGTCATCGTGCTAAGCTAAGCTAACTGTTGCCTCACTGTAGCCTCATATGAAATACACAAGTATGAAAGTGGTATCAGTCTTCTCATCCGACTGTCAAACTAACCACACAAACATAGAGAGGCAGGATAGAAGTCAGACAAAGCTGCTTCCAAACAAGCACAATGGGTCTTGAGTCTGCATGTGCAATTGTCCCTAATCATGACAACGATTCAAGGGAGCTCCACATTCCAGTGCCTCTTATGGTTTAGCTGCTATGTGTCTTGGAGCCTGTGGAGCCATTAACACGATACCAATCTCACCAATGGCTCCAGTTTGGGCCTCCCATGGGCTCCTGAATGCAACCTGTCCAGTTCGAGGGGTTCCAAGCATCCACCCTCACACACGTTTCCCCCCAATGAGGTGGGCATCAGGACAAACAATCAATGCCAACGACAGATCCACGTCAGACGGGGTGCAATTATGGGAACAGCGTTCGGAGAGATACCGTGTCATTAAAACCCGCTGTCTCCACTGCAACGACAACGGACTCTTTTCCTGCTGCCTGTCCGTGCTGTGAGGTGTGTGCTTGAATGTCAAGCTGGATCGCTGTTTCTAATGTGTCCCTTGTCCTCATATAACTTTTTGTGTAATTGCACCAGAGTCTGCTGAGTGAACCTTTAAAGGTGCAGCGATGTAGACATGATAGAGACACGAGACAAAACCCTTTTTAGGGGCCATGTGAGATTGAGGGAAGCCTCAATTGCACATGACAGCCGCAATTTGAGAACTAAATTGCCAAAAGTACTTACATAGCTGCTGTCTGATGCCCGCCTAGACAGCCTTAATACAAGATTATTCAGAGGAAGATGACCAATTCTGTTTGTATGCAGGGTAGAGAAAAGTGGCCATGACACTCCATTTGCACTAGTCTATTAGAATAATGTCCTGCAGGCACAGCATGGAGACAAAGCTGTGTTTCAGGTCATCCTCTTCTTCTGGGAAATAATGAAGTGGCTGAGTCAAACAATAAAGAGACGAAGACAAAGCCGAGGACCAATAAATCTGAATAAAAATCTGTCTCTAACAGTTAAGTCTCAGTGGCAAATCAATGATGATGATGATGATGATGATGACAGCTAAGCGATGAAATACAGTGAAAAACTAGGGGCAGTCTTTTATATATGTATTATAATTAAGTGCACCATGAATCACACACCAATGATAGTTTATTTATAATTATTCTCAGCAGGTAGCTACTCTGTGGTGCCCTGTAACATATGATGGGACATTTTGGTCAAACGTAATACTTGATTTGTCTGTACAAAATGTTTGGGAAAAAATATGGAATTTTAATCAAACCGCAGTGACGGTAGTTCAAGCTAACGGGAAAGGTAACCGCGGCGTATGTTAGCTAAAGCTAATTTATTCCTCTCCTGCTTTTGGGTTGTAAAAAAAGTGACAATGAAGTAAAACACCAGTAATAATTAAGTAAATATGTCAAATCACAATGGAGAAAAAAATAAATAGCTGGTCTGACCAGCTAAAAAAATAAAAACCTAGTTAAACTATCCAGCTCAAAACTTTACTAGCATATCTTTGCAGCGCAGCGCTAACTGCCTTCTCAAAATCAGACTCATTCATTCATTCATGTGCTACCCATCAAGTATTCATCGTAAAGCATCGTAAATGTTGATCACTTGGGGGCAGCAGACACAAGCTCTGGACAATCGTACTGACATTAATTTACTTTTTAAGTTGGAAACGGGAATTTTTGCAGTTGTTTATTTCCACTGGGACAGTCTGCCTTTTAGCGCTATGCAGTTAGTCTGCAGTTTGTTGACTGGAAAAACGTAATAAAGCACAGTAGTGCTGACGGTTCGACACTACCTTTCACGTAGTTATGTGATCCGTTGTACAATAGAAGCTGCTAAAGATTAAGCAATGAAAGACAACGCAAGGGGACTTTCTGAAATCCGTTCCTCACGATGGTAACCCTCCATTTGAGTTACCTTGGCGAGGTAGTCGACATTATAGTCATTTAACATCAGATGGTTAAGGTCGGATTATATCGTTGGGCAGCAAGTCTCGCAAAGGTTTTTGTAAATCTAAGATGACCTCAGAGGCATGAGGCTTTGTACAGATCTGTAAATTCATTATCTAACATCATTACTATGGCCATTATCTGCTGCCGATAAAGGCTTTATCAAATGTGCCTTTATTAGAAAGTTGTTTCCACATACGTAAAAGGATGTATTCTTAGTCTGAAAGTAATAAGCTCCACTGCGTTGCATTCCTCTTTCATTTTCTTCTCCGCTGGGGACGGTATCACAGCAACAGGTTTGTTTTAGGGCCGCCTCTGTATCAGCAGGACTCGGACTGCTCGCCTTTGTTTGGAGTAACTCAGGCTACTGTGAAAAAAATCAAAGGCATGCTAAAACATAATATACAGGAGCCCGGCATCTCTAAGTCCGAGTCTCACTGTCTGTTCCTCTCTGCAGGTAGCCATGTTTGGAAGTGCTGACAAACAGAGGAGAAAGACAGAAGGCAAAGAAGTCCAGACCGAGTCCAGACCGGCGGCTGGATTTTTGCCAAATTGTCACATCCTCCTCATAATCAGGCTCCAACTATGGTCACCTCTTATAAACACGCTTGACTTGAGTGTTTTGAGCAAACTGCAGTAGGCTACTTTCAACAATGAAGAGAAGTGACTTGGCTTGACTCCCCTGCTTTATATACATTTTGACTTTGTAAACACAGCATAAGGTATTGGGTCACATTTATCTCCAGCGTCGCTGTGTCTTTCGGGACGCCTGCAGACACGGGGATTTGCTTAAAGCAGTCACTCAATGAGTCAGTCACTAAGGTAGAGGAATCTCATAATTAAGGCCCCATTAAAGCTACACAACTATGTTGGTTTACTGCGCAGACAGAAACCTCAGATTCACAATGGAGCCATTCATAATATCTCACTTTTCTAAAGGAAAAGAGAAAAGGCAGTTGCTCTTAGCATTTCGGCAGATGTAATTGCAATCACTCAGCTTGTCTGATGCTGATAATGGGGCAATGGGAAATTCCTGTCAGAGTCGTGGCGCAGCGTGGTTTCGCAACCTCTTTGGCAGCCTCCGTGTTCCACTGCAGGGCAGCGAATGCGTTACGGCATGCTCACATAGCTGTCATTAAACACATTTTGGAAAAAAAAAAACACACAAGACAATCAAAACTCACAAGTGTGTGCCATTCTCCCGCTTCTTGAGCAATGAAAAGGCAAATATTATGTAAACGTATATCATCTGTCATCCCTGCACTTTTAAACATGTTGAAAGACTACGGTTGATGAAAAAAAGGAAAGTGAAAAAGCTTCAGCAATCCCACTTACCTAATAGGCACTATACATTTTGGCAGAGCTGTTTTCAACATCTTTATTTTCATTTGTCATTCTCAAAACATTTCTCTTGACAGGTAGTAAAAACAGAAATTACCAAAAAATGCCTGGCAGTTAATTGACGATAAAAAGGATGTTGTTTTTATTTTTCTTATTTCTGTCTGAAGTGTGTGCTGCAGGTTGAAATAGCACGTGGGTGCAACGTTCTTGTGGCTAGTTCTTAGGTACAGTATGTGACCCTTGGCATGCCGGCTTAAGAAGCCTCTATTATAAAGCATTCATGCAATGATGCTAACAGGCTGATATTACTGGATGAATAAGCTTTTGTGCAATAAAGGCCTCCGTACTTTGTGCTCTGTGGGACCACCCAAGAAACAATATATTGATATTACAGATTTTCTAATCTAATCTTCAAGCAATAAAATCTAATTTACTGGACTAGAGTAAACTATTCAGTTTTAATTAAAGAAGAAACTTGAGAGATATATAAGTAAGAAAATCTGCCAGCACTGGATATGGTTCTGTGAACAGATGATTCTGTAGTCTGCAGTCAGACGATGTTATAGTAATATTTCACTGGTAGTCCTGAATTCTTTTGGCAGTCTGCCAATTTTTGCAAAGGCATTTGTGGTATTTTGCAATCCAAATGCCAAAAAGAAATGTTTCGGTTTGTTAAACTCCTGAGGATTCTTTCATCAAATGAATCCAGCATACTGCAAAAGAAGAGGGAACTCTGATAGCAGTATTACTACAGTTTAGATATTACTTTCCTCCAGTGAGAAAATCATAATATGACCATCATTAATATGTGCAGAGACAAAAATGGCAACCTTAAAAAAGAGTTTAATTTCAAATTACAGCATGGTATGGGTAATAAAAAAACTTGCAAAAAAATACATTTTATCCTTGCAGTAATCTGTGGGTTTGACAAGAGTCCACGAGTGTTTCAATCAACAAGTGATTCATACATTTCCTCAAACATAAATACCATATAAAATATCAATAGCGTTCCAATGTTACTGGTGTAGTAGTTATTATAAATTACAAGCATCTATTTAAGAAAATAATACAATACAATAAAGAATAAACATATGATAAATGATGACAAAAAAGACCTCTCTCTTACAGCTCTCTTAGTTAAAAGGTGGATCTCAATTTGTATGACAAATTTAAACAAGACTAAAAGCGCATTCACATTTTTGCAGAAAAAACAACTTTGGCAGGCGCCTCCTCCCTTATTGTGTTGTGCTGTGATGGATCCACGAGGATGTCTGCGCTTCGCAGAAAGTTGTGTGCTTTCCTGCTTGAGCTGAAAGAACAAATTAATTTTGTCTGGTTTCTTGGCCGCTGTCGGATTTTCTCCCAAACGATGTATGTATATGTAGGCGTTATATTATCTCAAAAGGCTTGCATGAAGGAAATGGGGAAAATCTCTCCCAGCACACCCAAGCGTTGAATGCTTCTTAAGTTTGGCTCTAACCAACCAACGCCGAGCGCGAGACCCTTGTTTTTTTTGTTGTAATGTGAATTTGCCATTTATAGTCTTCAGCCATGCCAGCAGCACAATGTCTGACCTCCCAAAAGCATAGCCCAAAAAATGCACTGCAAAAATGTAATTATATAAGTGGGACAAGATCTTGTGATGCTATATTCTCTCTATTGAGCCGGCTTCCATTGTCCAGTGTACTCACAGTCTATGTACCATACACCATATATAAATGTTCCGTCCATGATGAAAATGCAACTGTAGTCAATGAGCGTGTACATAATAGATCATTTAGACAACTTTAACTGTCAGTATAGATCAAACACACAAATGGACTTTTTCTTGTCTCATAGCATCTTCCAATGTCCATTAGGAGAACATAATAGAAAAAATGATATTTGTTTCACTGTAAAGGTCTTCAACAAACTCAAAAAGATATACTGTAACAGACATATTTACCGCTTTGTTTACGGTTATTTTTGGTTGGTGAAGCAAAACGGGCCACCACGTTCCTCCGGTAAGTGTTGCAGTGATGCACTGATCAAAAACAAACTCGTCCTTAAGTTCTTCACGCTGTCCCTGCATGACGAGCGGTAAAGTCCATGTCAGCCTTATTTCCTTTCTTTTAAACCTCCCCTGTGGTTTGGTGGTGTGTGACGGAGCTCAAAAGCGGTCCATTGAGAAAAAAGAAAGAAAGAAGATGCAGCAGAGGGCTCGGATGGTGCCCTGTTCGTGGGCGAGTCTATACACCAAGCAGCATGCCCATGAAATCGGATCCGTTCTGTATTGTGATGGAAGCGCCTGCTGCATTATCCACAAATATGGAGGTGTACTGGCCGGCCTGCAGAGGAAAATACACAACATTGATGTAGGAAAGATCTGCACAAAAACAGATATTTTATGTTTGTGTGTTAGTCGGTGTGCTGCTCACCTGTAGCTCCAGCAGCCCCTGCACGCTGACAGTGAATATCTTGCTGTTACTTTCTAATCCAACAATCATCTCCAGGGAGCTGCAATCATACATGAAACATTGCTGAATAAATGCTGTGTTCTCAACAATTTGTATTGAATCTGCAAGCCTCTTTTATTTTTGAGCTTCGCGCTCTTCATACGTGAGCATGAACGCGATCTGATTGGCTGGTGCCTGCGCTGTCGTATTTGCATGAAAGGAGCAGTGAGTGAACCGGTGCCCAAAGCTTGAGAGAGCTCCTCCGGTGGGAAGCTGAGTGTGTGTGTTGCGGACTGACAGATAACGTCTTCTCCATCAATGTATCCGTTCGCTACAATATGTTGGATTCATGTTAATGTGTATTTAAATACAATAAATACAATTCTGATTTTGGAGACATTTAAATTTGTGGAAAAAAAATTGTCTTATCAACCAAAAATTTCGCGACCCCCCCTGCAGTACCCTGTTGAAGACCCCTGCCCTAAGGGATTTTGTTACCAGCCAGCTGCCTCCTACTGTATTTATGCTAAGCTAAGCATCTCCTGGCTGTTGTACAGGTAGGAAAGTTTGTGTAAAAACAACAATTCACCGTTTGCCACCTTTGGCATGAGGCATGCCAGCTGTTTCCTTTCGATTTCAAGTCTGAATGCAGTTGGTAGATTCATACAAAGCATAAAAACACGATAGTGGTATTAATGTTGTATTTCCCCGTATTTACTGTAAAGAGGTTTCTTTTAACAACTCAGTGCCATCAGACTGTACACATAGTTGTAACATTGCCACGGGCCGTAACCACACTGAGAGCACTGGCTCCCGTTGAGTGGAAAACGCCACATTTCTATGGCAAATCAATCACGTTTGTCTTCTCTCCAACCGCCCTCACAAAGAAGCTCACTTCACGTTTCCTGCATTTTTCATGTGTGGGAGGGCGAGAGACTCTTTTGGGTTCGGTAACCCATCATAATAATACTATTTATATGTTCCCCTCATTATAGCAAGCTGCGAGGGAAGTTGTGGAGCTCTGCGCAGGCCAGGGGAGACTTAAGGGAGAAATTCACTTCTGCTGTTTGCACTGACTTTATGTAAATAGACTTTTTTTTAATATTGGAAAGAACTCTGCGCCTTCCCCAACTGGAGTTGTAATGATGTAGAAACAATCTTTCAGATTCAGTTCATCGTCGGTCTCCCGCATCCCGAACAAGGGGAATTCACTGCTGTGCTGCTGAATACAACAATCTGTCCGAGGAGTCAAAGGTGAATCTATAAAGATTAGTTAGGCGACAGGAACGAGGGCTCTAAGTGAGAAGACATTTCCTCTAAAAGACCTGCTCGGCTTTCACACAGGAAATACCAGACCGGTTCCACACAGATTGTAACAGACAACACCTTTAACAGCTCATAAATTCTGCTGATGGTCAAGGCAGCATTAAACACCAACCAATTAAATATCACTATTACACAGGGATAGTAAACAATTTAGCAAAACAACAACATCAAGAATGCAAAGTGCAAGTTTTTGTACCAGATTAATTACTTCCCAAAATGTATTTGACTAACTCGTACTACACTATTATGCTGGTGGTGATCAGGTTTATGTTGCTCCCTTTTCCCCAGATTTAAGAGTCTGGATGTGTGACCTGAAATACTCCAATAAACCCCAGCACAGTGTTGCATGTCAACACCATGCTGGGGCTTCTGAACATGTCGAGGAGACAGAAATGCACACAGATGATCAGATGATAACAATGAAAAACGAATACCCACGTGTATCTATGGCAGAGGGATTCAATGCAGATCAGCACCCGGACATTGTCCCTGGCCTTCAGCTGACTCTTGCTCCTCTTCACCTCATTGTGGTCTGTATAGAGACAAAATGTTCTCAATCATAGGAAGATATCGACTCACGCTCTGCTCACAAAAAATATATTTCCCTAAAATCCTGTCCCAGTACAGGTATCGTTCAATCCCTGTAGACAAACCTTTAAGTGTTTCTCCACATCCTGAAGCTAGATACACGAGGATAAATGTATGGTATGGCGTATTTTACCAGCCGTTTAAAATGCAAAAAAGTTTTAGGGATGGATTAAACTGTCCGTTCTGCTCAAACGTTAGCGGCAATTGCAAATCCGGCTAACTGCTTTCTGCAGTAACAACCTTACCTGCATTAGTTTTAAGCTCAGGCTAATGTCAGTGGCCCTGTTCTGCTTTTTATTGGATTTGGGGAAGTATACGTTCCAGCCAACCTTTCCTGGGTTACGGTTACATTTGCCAGACACATTGGTCAACCCCTAACGCTAAAAAGTCACTATTACTATGAAAATATAAACAAGAATATACGAATATACAGACTTACGGTGTTCAGTCATGACTTTTCTGGGACTGTTTTAGAGTGTTGATTTCTTGCCTTATGTAATGTTATATTTGCTATACGATAGTGAGCACTTTACCAATGTGGACATTGGCAGAGAACTGGTAGATCCCGGTGATGGGAGCTGTGAATCTCCCCGTGGACTGGTCCATTCCCGACCCTCGGAGGAAGGCTCCTTTAGCTGGTGGCTGAAGGCACAGGCACATATGATTAATATCTTAAATTTAGTGATACCCTCTTCATACCCCCTCCTCCAGGAGCTCGGTTACAGAACAGTGATCCCGTAGGCCTGCTTCCACCAGCATTTTCAACAAAAACGACAGTGGAATGATTCCGATCAATGATTTTTGTTTATGTAATCTTTGGGGAATCTGTACTTCTGATCTAGAGAACAGCTACAGTTTAAACTATGTCAAGACGTGCAGAAAACTGTAACTGTCTACTATCTGGTCCAGGCCCCGAAAGACTTTTCAATTTGAATACTTGACCTTCTCGTTTCCTCCTTCACAACAACATTTTTTAAATGTTCTTTCCAAAGCTACAGTGTACGCAGCACACCTATTTTACCGTCTTGCTGCCGTGTTAGCATGCTAAATAGTTCAGCAACCCTTAATCCTCCCTATTCCAGCCTTGTCAGCCCATCCCAACAGGGCACAGTTCTTCCACTACGGCATGCTGTTTCAAACAGTGTCTATTTTTGTCCTCTCCTCACTTTATTCCAAGTCAAAGACAAAGTGCCTTTTGTGCGCTCTCCAGGGAGGGATGTGTGGAATTGAAAGAGTAGATATTTTTGACCAAAGAGCCGTTGTGAGTTTCAGAGCCAGTGCCAGTTACACCAGCGAGGGGATGGTCCTCTCATAATTCCCGCTCATGAAGACGAGGCGATGATTACCGAGACGCTAAGACGCAGTTAAGACAGAGAGGCAAACGGGTCCGAAAAGAAGCCTGTAACCATGCAGAGGAGGATTAGCCAAAACATTTATTTTTCAGCCATGCACAGGGAGCGAGGTGGAACCAGTTCATAAACATTTACTTGTGTTTCAAACAAACATACTGTCTGAAAGTTCTGGAGCTCCACCAGAGTCTTCTTGTCGACCACCACGGGTCCCCTGAGCTTGCAGTGGAAAGCCTCCTCTATTCGCCGGTAGGAGGTCATCCCCTCCAGGGTGAGGAGGGCCGTGGGTTGCTGGCTGGGACTGGTTTGTCTGTCCAATGCTGCAGCTCTCCTCTCTGTAGCCTCTGACAGAATAAAAGCAACTTTGATGTCAACGCCCAAGTGTTTACTTTTGAATTTTGGTCCTCTCTGAAAAGTTAAAAAGGAAAGCTGAATTGTGTCTGGGATGTTTCTATACCTTTAATCATATCTTTGAAGTCCTGGAGAAGAACTTCCGGGGTCACTTCAGCTCCAGGAGAGCCAGGAGGTCCCTGGGGGCCAGGAGGACCCGGGGGACCAGGTGGGCCCGGCTAGTGAGGACAGATGAACAAGACATTGTAATGCATTAAACGCCATCTGAATGCAATTTTGTCATCTTGCTCCATTACTGAAGTGCAAAAGACAATACCGGTATAATTCCTAATCAATTAAGTATTTGTAAACCTAAATATTGCGTTTACCAGGGGTCGTTTTCTTTTGCGACACTTTGGGGGGAAGTTGCCGACCGGTCTTTTGACAAAGTCCATCCATGATCCCAACGGATCCACTCGCTGGTTGTCAGGAACCTGCAGCAGAAACAAAGAAAGATGCTTCAACACTGTTCAATAACGAGCACAGCCTTTAACAATGCGCCCATCACACGATTCGTTATATATTTTATTCCAAACAATGTTGCACAATTAAGGCATGCCGCAAAGGTTGGCACCTTCCAAACTAAATACAAAACCATCGTAGGAAAATCTCGCCCCACGAGACAATTAAGTGGTACCATACACATAGGAAAGTCCCGCAGTGAATCCTCTCTTTCAGTCCCACTGCAAAGAGACGTTTTTCTATAGTAGTCCTCCTATTGTTCTCCAAAGGTTTCACCTTTTGCTTATTATTTTATTCCAGATAACTCACTCAGTTGCCACGTCAGTTGTTATTTTCCCGATGTGCTTGGACAAATGTATTTTCTTTTAAGCACATGAATATTTCCATGAGCTCTCGGGGGGAAAAATGGGCCTGCCCTTCGTGCGTGTCATGTAGATTCTGTGGATTGCGGACCTACTGTAGTTCATAACAAAATAGTAGTTCATGTCAAAATGGCACTTTTCCCATCCCCAAAAGACGTGCAACTATCTTATTATATTAATACTGCTTGTTTGAGTGACGATGGAAAATGTAATAAACAAGATAACAAATGTATATACAGTGTATACCGTGATTTAAGAGTCCTGACGTCTGTTTTCTAATGCTCGATCTTGTCTGCAATCACTCATTTGTAACAAACTGCTGTACAGGAGACTGGGATCTGTCACGGAGATAAGAAACACAGTGCAAGAAGACCTCTGGGAGGAGCAGTTTTATGCACAGTGCTACGAGTCGTGTGTGTTTTTGTCTTTCGCGGAAATTGCGAAGCTGAAAGAATTCCATCTTGAATTGTACCCAAAACCTTTCCTCAAATGTCAAGTGTCTTGAGCTGAGACAGGGGAGGAGATAAAGACACGCCATGGAGGTGAGCTGGCTGAAATGGAATTTGTTTAGGGTTGGCAGCGGGACTCGGATCACTTATCTACAAAACCAACATGACCCTTTATTCACTGTTGAAGACTTGCCTTCAGTTCCACCACAACAAAGTCACTCCTTGTTTTTTCTTGTATTTTTTTTTTTTGTACATTGCATTTTCAGAAGACTCTCCCCACCTTTCTTTCCGCCTTTGACTTTTTCCTTTTTGACAGCAGTCAAAATAAACAGCTCAACATGCGTTGGATGGTTCCGTGTTTTTGTTGTGATTTTGAGGTTTGGAAAAAGATAAAAGCAAGACTGACTGAGTCAAAACAAGAAAACCTTTACACGACTGAAAGCTGTTTCCATAGAACTGCAGGCCAGTTGGATACATTTTTCCCTCTGACAAGTCAATTTTTCATATTCATTAACATACCCATTCTGAGAGAGTTTGATATATTGAGAAATACATCAACAAAAAATAACTGTTTTCTTTGGTAACTTGGACGCAATAGAAGAAATTTGGAATGGGAAACCTGTTCATCAAGCAGTTGCTTATTTACACATTACAGCTAAAGAGCACTATTATGATTCATTGGAGTTGTGTTTGTGTCCAATATTCACTCACGTTAAGCAATAACTGGCCTCCACTAACTCCTGATGGAAACATCTGGCTCTTTCGCTACCGTGTTAGATGAGAAGATCAAATCCTTAATTAAGTCTGTTCAATATAAACCAATAGCTAGCAGCTATTTGCTTCACAGCTGGAAACAACTGGCGCTATCAAAAGTAAAGCCTATCGGCACTCACATCTTAAATAATTACAAATAAATGAAGTGTAGCCTGGGGTCCGGATATGACTTTCATATCCGGTTTGTGCCACAAAGTTTGTTCACTGTAAACTCAAATATGACAGTTAAATTACCCATGCACTTTATTTCTATTGCTGAGACAACCAGCTCTTTCACTATGCATTATTGTTTGGATGTCAGATGACATGGAGGCAGAAAATAACGTCGAATGAAACGTTTTTACGAGATGGTTCGTGTTAGTCAGTGAGTTTCAGGTGTGCTGGTGGGCTTTTCCCTCTGGACAGAGTCTGGACTGAGCTGCTTCCTCCTGTTTTAAGGCTTTGTATTAAAGCCTTAAGCGAAGCTAACTGGCAGGTGGCTTTTTTTTTTTAATCTACCGAACAAACATGACACTTTCCCAAATGTTGACTTATTTCTTTGACATACCAGCCCTGTAAGCTCGAACAAATATTAACATGTTGACTGCGGTAGCGATGTGGTTGTACTAGTAGATTTCCACTGGGATGGGTTGTAAAACTGTGATTCATCACCTCAGACAGCTCGGTGTGGTTAGAAGACTCCCACCCAGTTATGATAGCCGATGGGCACCAATTCCAAGAGAAGACGAAGCTCAACATTAGTTCTTGTGTTTACATCAATGTCACAGATAGTTGTCTCGCTCTTTCAGGGATATGGAGAAGTGCAGGTTTGCCCACACAGGTAACATATAATTACACATCTTAGCAATTCCCTACATCATCATAAAAAAAAAAAATAGACAGCAGATCATGGCCAGGAAATCCGCCACACTTGTTTCCCTCTTTAACAGACGCCATCGTAATTAAACCATTAAAACTTTGCCCCCGAGGATCCTGTGTGCTCAGGGTAGATGCGCTACGACCAAGTTAATTACTACAATCATATCCGTGCAAAAAAACACCCACATCATCAGCTTAAGGAATGATGAACTCTTTCCATTAAACATATTGTGTTTTTTTTGTTTTAAGCATGTGCAACCTGAGAGCGTAGCATCCACCATTTAATGTGACCGCTGGGACGGCTCAAACAACTTGTCAAAATAAAGTCAGATTCATTGCATGCATACGAGTCTCTGTCTCGACGGGAGGACATCAAAGATTCCACACACGCAGACTTGAAAATGACACAGAACAATCCGTCAGAAGCGCTCAATCTTTCACCCGCCGCTATCGGCTGTGGCGCAAAGTAAACGGCGGATTCCCTCCCACAGCTCCGCATCAGCGAGAGCGACTGGTGAACTAAGTGGAGGAGGGAGCGGATCCAGGTATCCGTCTGAGAGCTGATGAAGAACACCAGGGCTCCGGCTTTGATCCCCCCGCTGATGTGCGAGGGCCTCAAAGTGGCCTCGTCTGTCAGCGGGTATGAGAGCGCGCCCTTTCCAGCACAGGCCCAGGGAATGTGTCAGGTATTCTGTCTAAAGGTGAGAAACGTTAAATCTTCCACGGTGTTTATCCTCGTTGATGTGACTCTAAATCATGACACATTACTGAGGCTTTAGATCCTTAGAACAGTGGGATACAACACGTCCCTGGTCTGGAAGAGGTTTTCACGCAAGTACCTACACGACAGTGTTAAAGGTTCTCTGCTATTCATAATTTTACACAAATTACAGACATGTATTATTAGATAAATGTATTTAAAGTAGCAACAGACAAGAGCTTTTGCTGTACCTTATTAAGTCAGTGTTGCAAAATGTAATGCTATGAAAAAAGGACATCATTTGCGTTTAAATTGGTTCCCAATACGCCTTTTTGCATCAAATGTGGCGATCAACAACGGAGAGAGGATAGAGCTTTTGTTTTACCCCATTAGCTGTCGGTCGCTATCCCCAGTTACCAAAGACTATCACTGTCCTTTCAAATGGCGGACACGTGTAAGAGTGGTATCTACGTCTCTGCTACTCCTATAACTTCGGTTTATCTGGAAAGTAGTTTAGATGAGTGGTCTCGTCCCTTCAAAAGGGTCACAAGATAAATCTGAGGGGTCACGGGATGATGTACGGGGTAGGAGAGAAGAAGAAAAAGTGAAATATTGTATAGATGTACTTCTCTCGCTCTGGAACAGCCATCATAAGTCAAAGGGGCTGTTAAACTTGAAAAATACTTCATATTTTAGAAGCTTATAATATGATTTTTTTATGTAATCCAAAGACTGTTGAAAAAGTATAAAGTGGCAGAAAATAGAAATGACTCAAAGTGAACTTTTTGTCTACCCAAGGCACTCAACAAGTCCGTTTGAGGTTACTTGGATCAATTACTGATTCAGTTATACTCATTGATCATCACTTATGTAACCTTATGAAGTTCTATTAGCATGAAAAGAATAACTTGTGCAAAGCGCTAACTGTGTTTGTCATGTAGTTTGGGGAAATTTACGTTGAATTTGTTTGAAGCAATAAAATGGAAAATATTCCCCTGGAGCAGCATGCCACCAAGAACACAAACACAACTGTTAAAACACGTCTCTGGAGCCGCAACCAGATTCTGAAACTCTACTCCATCGCAGGCAGCTCCTTAACTCGTCCATCTGAACTGTCGAACTGATCTTATTTTCTTTCACCTGTTATCTGTTTTTTTCTACCTGTTCGCTCACTCTAGCCGACATCACACTTTTGGCTGCTGATAAAAAAAATGTAAAAACCTCTGAACGGGCGGCTTTCCAGTTGGACAGGATGATGGAGCGCTTTCTTTAATCCCTTGTTTTCACATCTCGGTACTGCTCCCTGTGCAGTCATCCATGCATGGGTGGACGGGCCCTGACGCTGGGACGATCCCACCTCTGCAGGCCGGGTACCCCAGGCCGGGTTCCCAGTCGTCATGCACCCTCCCACCCCCCAATTGCCTTGAGGATTTATCGCCTAAGAGCTAAATGCAGTTGGGCATGCGATGTTGACTCTCTTCTCTTGGCCCTGTGTTGTTACTCAATTCGGCAATTCGTGCAGAACGGACCGGCTCTATCACGCTGTGAGCGTGCTGCTATTAGTCCAACAAATACTGACAGAACACTATTTGTAAATAAAATATAGTTCTTTTTTTTTTTAGGTCACCGTTACACCAACAAAGACGTGTATACATTTACGATGCGTGAGCAAAAAGTGGATAAATTTGTGTTTACGCTGAAGAGCTCGCCCGAGAAAATTTGGGCGTCCTCTTGATGTAAAAAAAATAAAAAAATAAAAAAGACTTGTGTGACATCTGTTTTGTGTGCGAATTACAGCCCTGAAATTGTTCCCTGTGGTGGGTAAAGCGAGCTGGTGATCAGGACCCATCTCTGGTACACAGGTTTGCCCTGTGGCTCGACCGGGTGGGCAGAACAGTTCAGGTAAGAAGTCATTAGATCCTCCTCCTTTTATAGGATTCCTCTTATGTTACATAAGTGCACACTGTAAATGGTGCATTTCTTCTTTTATTATGCAACCAATTTGCCCTCTGTAGTGTTACGTTACGTCTTACAAGTAGTTAGAGAAATATAATAGGTGGAAACAAAAGGCAAGGTCACGGGGTATTAACTAAAACACTGTTGTACAAGCCCATTTTAATGAATACATGATGGATGCCAAATGACTCCGACATTTTTATAGGAAAGTATAAGTCAACATTTTATGTTGATAAGCACTTATTCGCTGTATTAACAATTTGATGAGAAGATCAATACCACTTGTGTTTGTTTGGTAAATAAGGAGCCAGCAGTAGACATTCCCCTCCACATAATAAAAACTGACCAACCACAATGATCTGAACCTCCTTAAACAACGTATTAAATCACGTATGCATGATCTCTACAAAAAACGTGTAAAAACAACACAATTGTGTTACTTTTGAAAAGACTTTTGCCAATTATAATGCATATGTCATGCATTTGCAGGGTTATCTGAAATACCACCCTCCTTTGTAAACATTGTAAAATGGTTAATTGCAAAATAATGTTTTTTTGTCTTTTTTTACCATAAGGCATAGTTGACTTTTCACTCTCTCTCAGACAAACTTTATTTGGTCATTTGAATGTTGAATGACCTCTTTAGCTGCCCTGCGTGTTAAAGGAGATCCCCTGCCTTAAAGCAAAGGCTAAAGCTAGTGGATGAGAGGTGTGAGCTTCCGCAGTGGCGGCGTTTCCTGTGGGACTTGGTCCCGTCCCGTATGTGGAGGTTGATCCGAAAGGTCCCACACAGCGCTGCATTAATCATCACTGGGGATGAGAGAGAGGAAACAAAAACCCTCGCCTCGGGCCAAACCCAGCCATTACTCAACACGCCAGGCGTGATGTTTGACTTGACTCCCTCAATTACAGCCATCACAGATCCCTCACTGTTCCCAACAACGACAGATTCCTCTCATCTTCGGAGGAGGAGGAGGAGGAGGAGGAGGGCTCGCACACATGCACCTTTGACATATCGCTCTAAAACTGTACCACGTGACGGTTCGCAGAGATCACAGTTGTTTGAAATGTACTTCACCTATCATCTCATTAAAAGACATTCCACTGGCGGCACAACTCCACACCTCACTATTGTGATCACTTTCGAATGGAAAAATCTCCTGTGGAATGCAGCGCGCGGCTGCAGGCTGCAGCCAGCGGCCCACACACGGGAACGGTCAGATGGCATCGTACGAGCTGTTTGCACTGTTTCCACAGGGCACAAGGGAAAACATGCAAATGTGGAGTGTAAATGTTTGGCCTGTTTGAGAAAAACAAATGACTTGCCAAGGCAGCTCCAATGGACGTGTTGTTTTTTCGGGGACCAAGCAGATGCGGATGGGATAAACTCTCAAACCGCCACAAGGAAAGCAAGTTTACCGCTTTTCTTGGTGTGTGGTACCCATTTTTTTTTTTCGTTCCTCGATCAGAAACCTGGTTAGAGTTGCAACAACAAATGTGACCTTGAATACCACCACTTCCACAATGTCAAGCCTGAAGCTCAGCTTCTCAGCAGAGGTGACAAGGTTTGGCAAAGACACTATCTGGCATAACACCGCGTCTTAAGAGTGATTATGTCATTACCCTCTGATCTCCATAGCTGCAGCTTCTGGTTTTATATTTTTTACAGCATTTGCTCTT